CGCCGTGGGGAGCCTCTAATCTCTCCCCGCCCCTCGCCCACCCCTCCTAAAAGGCAAGCGGCCGGCCCGGAGGGCTGGGCCCCAGAAACATGACGCCCACAGCGCAGGACTCGCCAGAAGGCAGCAGGTAAGAGAGGTCGACCCACTCAGGGAACCTGGGGGCTTGGTCTGGTCGCCCCATCAGCTGCGCCACAGATGGGGCCTCCCAGGTGTGCACATTCAGGGGGGCCTTCCCCACCCACCTGGACGTGGAAAGGCACGGACGTGGAGGGCAAGGCTTCAGCCCACCCCGGAGTCCGCATGCTTCCGTGGCCTGCGGAGCAGGGAGTGGTGGCCGGGTTGAGGATGTCCCTGCACCGAGGGCCTTGATGGGAGGGGGCCGCCGAGTGGAGCCCCACCCATGTCCCACGCTGTCCTATGGAAACTCGCTCAGCCAGGCCCAACAGGGGTGGCGCAGAGTGACCACAGGGGCCTCGTTCCTCTTGGGGCCTGCAGGACACTGGGTGTGTGGACAGGGGCTGGGAGGACCCACCAGGCGGGCACCAGGCCCCTCGGGCAGGAGGGCGGGCACTGTGGCTGGCACTTCGTCTCCAAGCATCCCTCTCCGCTCTTCCCAGCTGAGTTTGGGTCTCTGCCTGACACAGTGGACAGGGCTGTGTGGTCCTACAGGGAGGCCAGGGGACGCCACACTCCTCCAGCCTCGACCCTGCGGAGGAAGGCTGGATTCGGGGGAAGCTTTCCTGGCAGCACCTTCAAGCCACGCAGCCCCGGGGCTCAGGCAGGGCTGACCCTCACCTCCCACCCAGACCCCAAGCACCTCGGCGCCATGAGCACGACCTCACCCCTCCCGGAGCCGCCGGTGCCCCCGCCACCTAGGGTCTCCTTTGCGGGTAGAACTGTGAGGTGCGGCAGAGCAGGGCTGGGCTGGAGGCAGGAGGTGCTGGCAACTCGGCCACAGACCCTGAGCAAAATCACTGCTCCCCCGGAGGGCACCCAGTCCCTGGGCAGATGGGACGGAAAGCACGGCCCCTCTGGTGGCAGGGAGGGGCCTCGGGGGCCAGGGAGGGGCCAGGCCTTCCAAGACGCCCACCTGCCGCCGCGGCCCAGCCTCCGACCCAGGTGTGAGGCTCCTGGGTCCACGGGAGCTGAGGTCAGCGTGCTGTGGGCGCCTCTCGGGGCACAGAGGGAACTAGCCCACAGAAAAGCAGAGGCCTGCGGGCCAGACCCAGCATCAGAGCCCTAGGAAAACAAGAAGCACGGGGCACGCGGGAAGGCGGCCCGCAACCGGCTTGAGCGGCTGCAGCGGCCCCGGGGGCGCCGTCGGGTGTGGGGCGGGCTGGCAGGACTCCCCTCTCAAGGCGGACCCGGGAGGAGCCGCTTCCAGTGGAAGGTGTTGTCGTGTTGAGTCGCGGTTTGTGAACTAAATAGGAAGCTCGCTTTGCACGGTGAGTGGCGGAGCACAGACTGAAAAAAGGAAAAGAAGAGAAACAGGCAAGGGTTCCCACGTCTGCCCAGCGTGTGGGTCTCGGGGACGCGCGTGGGAGGCAAGAGCCAAAGCACCGCAAGGGTAATGCGCATAAACGCGCACAGACCCCGCGCCAGGTCCTGTGGCTGTGGTGACTTGGCGGCTGAGGTCGGTGCTGAAACGTCTCGATTTCAGCAAAAAGAAGGCTCTGGCGGTCCAATTCCTCCAACGAGACAGGGCACAGCCTGCCAGCTCCGCTGAGGGGTTTCCAGTCCTCTGCTGGGGGTACCAGCCCAGGGAGGTCTGTGTACACTGTGCGACTGCCCCGTGCCGCGTCTGTGTTCCCTGCAAGCTGGGAGTCCCGGGCGGAGGCTGCGGGCCCGGCCTGGGGGAGCCCGGCCTAGGGGGCCCGGCCTGGGGAGGCCCGGCCGTTCTCCCCCAGGGAGCCCATCTCAGTGAAGTGGAGCTCCTTGTCCGAATATAGAAACGCGGGAGGTATTT